CATCAGGACTGGAAAATACAAAAAGTCATTACACCTATTTTATTTGTATGAAAGAGTTTGCAAAGTTAAAGAGAATAAAACAACCTCAAAAGAAATGCAGTAGTACTTAATAACAGCCCACAGGCAGTTTCAGTCATAGTTATTAAAATATTTCCACTTCCAAAATTACCTACAACAGCAGGAAAAAAGAATGTTACTTGTTCAGACCAACAGGTGGAAACTACCGCTGCTACGTCTCTAACAATGGTTGTACTTGAGCTTCTGTTTCTCGCCCACCCCTGAAAATTCTGCTTAAAGTTTTGTTCATTTTCTAAACTTTCCAGAAATTGTTTCTTAAGCAGCTCTTAAGCAGTTTCTTTTTATATATAATGGTAGTTGAACTATGACAGACACTAAGTTTCAATGTCGTAAGAAAGATGATTCTAGCAGAATCTACAGTTTAAAATGGGTTTAGAACTACTTGAATTCCTTGATTGGATTTGACTGATTAAGGATTATAGTGTCCTTGAGCATTACTGTGACACCACCAGTGAAAGCAAATTGGAATGAACATCATTATTCTCCTGTTAAAATGTGTATAATTCTAGCTACTGCACTGCAGTACTAGGTAATATTGACAACAACAGAAGAACAAATCAACAATTCTGAAGGAAAAGACGTAGCGTAGAAACAAATATGACACAATGATACTTATTCAGATCTGAATACACTGACCAGCATGTTTGTTCTAATACTGCTTTGTAATTTAAAGAATTTACATTTTAAATAGCAATTTCGTCCTTTTGTCTAAATATCAGGCTGGTGCCATGCAAATAATTATGATTTCTCAATTTCTGCATGATTATTTAATTGCTGGAGCAAACTGAAAAAAGCAGGAGCTTTGTCTCACACTCATTAATTTTACAGGATAGAAAATGAAAGGCCTTATTCCATGATTGCTTTTGCATATATCGCTATCAAGACTATAGGTAGAAGGATCTACATTAAGTAATGGAATGCATTTATTGAGCAGAATTTTCCTCTGTAATTTCCTAATCACTCTATAACATTCCTTTGTAAGCACCTTCAACATTCCAAATAATTTATTTTCATGCTGAAATAAATTAATACAAGACAGCTTGCAACAAAAAATAAATTCATTGTTAATAGTTCATTGCTAATATTCTCACTGTATGCACGCTTACACTTTGTTGGTTTTCTTTTAAAATATAAAGAGCTGATGGACGGAGGATGATTTGTGGGTAAGCTAACAGAGAAAAAAAAAAAATGAAGTTAAGAACTTGATTAAAGGTCTCCACTTCAGCTGATATTTCTCCATGGGACTGGGACTGCTTTGGAAACACACTTGCACACTTGAAACACATTTTCATTCAAAGGGTATAATTCCCAAGACACTCCATGGCACTCATGTCCAATCTGTGTAAACGCAGTTCAGAATTTGATCCCAGCAAGGAACCAGTGCTAATAAGCAACCTAAAGAGAAAGTCCTCATTGCTTCATATTCCTAAAACCCAGCAGGCAGAGCTAAGCAGAAACTACTCTTTCAAGCAGTGGAAATCTGCTGATTATCTCAGTAAATGAAAGACGCATTAATAAAACGATACGTGGGGATTTTTCATGAAACAATGATTTTTTTTTTTTTTTGCTAAAATTATATTTATATCCTTGTAAATGTATGTCAATTTTTAATGCAACTGATTCTTGTAGAAACAAAAATGAATGTATTTTTATATCTATGCGCTGTGGACAAAAACTTAGTGGCTTAACTTGAAACCCCAGACTATGGCATTTAAAGTAATTTTTTTTTTATAAACTACCAATATCTACCCTGAGAAATAAGGCTGAAATACAGAGAAAAAAAAACCCAACTGCCAGAAGATCATATGCTCTGTAGGATGAGTCAAACTTTCAAGGTACTTATTTCAGCCTCCAAATCTACTGTTCTACATATGTCAGATAGACTGAAGTATCATTTCTTAGAAGAAAATCTCTAAAACCAGCTGTGAATGAAAGCAATAATTATTGGAGCATACATGTGAAGCTTTCTCCTGCTTTTGAACCACCATTCTTCTAGACATGGACAGCGTGTGGATCAAGGATTGATGGACCCCCAACTTTGAAGGAAATATCTGTATGTCTGTTTTGAGTGTTATTTGATAATTATTAGAGTTACTTGACAGTAAAAAAGTTCTCTCCTGAGGAGCTGGCACACCTGCCTTAACTGTTGCTCAGAGGTATGTGTTGGAAATCACACACAGAGACCCGATTCTATCCTATAATAGCCACACATGGATTCTCCAAGGACAGTGACATTTCTTGTCATATGAAGGTGAAATGGATTCTAGTTCTCCAGATACTCCTGTTTCACATCCAAAACTACTGCCTGTAGATTTCTGGGTAAATCTGATACCAGAGTACAAGAAAGACATGAACATACCGGAACAAGTCCAGCAAAGGGCTACAAAGATGATTAAGGGATCAGAGCACCTGAAACACAAAGAGAGGCTGAGAGTGCTGGGATTGTTCAGCCTGGGAAAGAGAAGGCTCAGGGGGGATCTTATCAATGTGTATAAATACCTGATGGGGTGATGGGGAGAAAAGATGACAGAGTAAGACTCTTCAGAGTTGTATCCAGCGAAAGCAGAGGAGGCAAGGTGCGCAAATTGAAATACGGGAAATTCCATTTAACTATAAGTAAAAACATTTGTAAGGATGATCGAACGCTGCAACCGAAGTTGTGGAGTCTCCATCCTTGGAGATATTCAAAACCCAGTGAACATGTCCCTAAGCAATCTGCTCTAGTTGACCTTGCTTTGAGGAATGCGGTTGGACTCAATAATCTTCAGAGGTCCCTTCCAACCTCAACTATTCTCTGTTTCTATGATTCTGCAAGATAAGACATTGCAGATGCCCAAGACAAGCAATTGAGTAGGAGACAGGATTTGCACAAGTTTAACTTGTTAGTAGCTGTGATAGACTATCTTCTTTCTCCAAACCTCTGGTAATTTATGCCTTTCTGCCTTCTCCTCGTTCCCCCGCTCATTAATACATTTAACAAACAATGCCATAGGTCATGTTTTGTCAACTGAAACTCTCAGTCTTGTCACTTGATATCTATATATTGCTTTCTGTCTGCTCTGTTTAGATTAGAAACACTGAGAAAAGGCAAGCTCAAAACTCTCTGGATATCAGATCCCTTTCAAGTTGGGCAATCAAAATCACTAACCATATTTTTGGGATATAAAGGAGAAAATGAAGAGCTTTCTGTTTCAGTGAGAAGTTGAAATTTCAGAGAAAGAGGCATTAATAAAGATTTCTTTTTTATACTAGAGAGATGAGGCTGAAAAGAACTTAAACATAAATGCTTTGGTGTTTTTCGTATTTTAGAATAGAAACACAGTTTAAAAAAATTCATTTTCCTTAGTAATTAGTCACACGGTTTTAAAAATGCAAAAAATTTATAAACAATAACAGCTTTTGCAGATTTTTCCCAGTTTGGTGGCACTCAGTTAAAAGTCCTCCTACACATAGACTGAGTGCCATGTATCACACTGATTTGGGATTTTAACATTTTATTTCTAAAAACGTATCAAAGAAGATATAAACAATTCATACAGTATGTATTTTTCCATCAGGGCCTATAAAATACACGTTTTTACCTTCAATATAATAGGATCAGCTCATTAGGCTCATATTCGCTAAACAGCTTGGAAATGTATACCAAACAAGTCAGTGCAAATTCATACCCAGAAGCAGATGGTGAGAATAGCAAAGCTAAGCAAAGAGAGGCTTAATTGCAAATTCTATCCAACCAAGCAAAACGGTAGTATTCTACATTCACAGGCATTTTCTTCAGAAAGGAACCCAACGAATCAACATGCAGGTTGAGGCAGGGGAGGGCAATTCTATGTCATTCATCAGACCAATGACTACTTGGAGAATTGCCACCAATTAAACAGTATTCATGTACAGTTGGCACCAACTTCATAGTGCTGCATGCTACGTAAAATTTTATGGCTTGTTGTCTTGCCAAAAGCAACACATCTAATGTTTTTTCTGTTAAATTAAAAATCAACAAGAGATTTAAAGTTGGCCTTCTACAAGAAGACAAGTAATTCAATTTACTCTGGTACAGTTCTCATTTGGAATGAGCGAAAGTAACAGTGCCTAGACAAGGCATGTGAGAAAAAGTCACGTTATTATAAAGTTTTTTTTTTTTCCCTACTTCTTCTCTACCTTATAATATTCAAAAATGGAGAGAAGAGCAAAAACCTTTTTGTCACTGAAAAAGGAACACTGACAAAAGAAAATTGCATTTCATCCCTGAAAACAATGGTACAGTCACTATAATAATCTTTATTACAGTCTTTTCCTGAGTGTGTGAACATTTATTTCATGTTGCAGCAAGATTTCTTTGCTTTAACTGATGATTTCATTGATGTAATTCACTATTTAATATGACTAAATTAGATATCTGTAGAAAGTGAGGAAGACTCTAAGACTGGTACCATGTATGTCCAGAACTCAGTATTTCACTACTTTTGTTAAAATTTCAACATAAGAAAAAATAAACCAAATCTTTTTCTCAGGAGTCAGAGAAATGTCAAAGACAGACAAGGTACAGTTTTCAGAGAAGGATTCCCAATTTTCAAATTTAGTATTAAAATATAAAATTTTCCTGTGAAAGAAAAGAAGTCACATCAGCTTTTATAACAGCTCAGTCATGATGCACTAAAGTTTACCTCTTACTCTTCCAAAGCCATATAAAAGTAAATTTCCCATTACATTTCTTACAGGATCCCATTTTATCTTCTATTACAAGCCAATAGGGCTTTTGGGGAAAAGACTGCTTTAAGAGCCTCAATAATATTGTCACCAAACATGAAAGATGACACCCATTTCCTGAGGGCCTCCAATAAAAGAGATGTTGTTTAAGAAGTACCAGAGAAAAAAAAAAACAGAGAGATACAAATGTCGCATTGAGAACTGTTGCTCATTACCTTCTAGGCGCTCCATCCTCATGTGGTTGAATAATCACCACTTTTACTGTCACCGATGTACGTAAAAGGTCAATCATTTGTTCATGAGTCAAAGTTGCCACAGCCACTTTGCAGATCTCAACCAGGCGGCTCCCTTGCCGTAGGCCTGCCTTCCATGCAAAACCAAAGGGCTCCACATCTGCCACTATCCCTTCAAAGTTCACGTGGAATCCAAGTTGGCCCAACCCATTCCTCCGAAGGGTCATTTCTGTGGTTTCACATCCTCTAGTCACGATCTAAAGAAGTAACAGACTGTTACGCTATTGTCAGGACTCTCACTTGTTTGGACACACAAACAGATCTGTTTTCAAACACCATAAAGCCATATTTGGCTTGACATTAAATATCTTTAATATACTAACAATTATTTTAACATTTGTGGCTGAATGAAGGTTTCTGCATAAAACAAAATGAACAAAACATTTCACAGTGCTAAAAGTCTTATATGCCCAGAGCAAGCAGCTGGCCCGTGTCAAGTTCCTTTCCCCTTGCCCAACTTTAACACAATACCATTTACATTTTATTGAAAACTTAACAGCTGCGCTAGTTTCAAAACACAAAGCAAGCAAAAATGCTGTCCTGTCAATTACTTCATTCTTGCTGGCTGACTGACTGCAGGTGTGCAGGCATTTTTTCTTCAGTATTAGACAGCATTAAACTTGAGATACAACATGAGCCAAATTGAGTGAAATGCTTCAGTTCTAGCAGATTTTCTTCCTCAAGAACGTAGCAATGAAGACAATTTTGATTTATTTTGCCTTGTAGTCAGATACCTAACTACCACCATCTCCAGACGTGGATATCACTAAAATGGGATAAGAGTTTTCATGTCACTGCGAAATCCAGAAACAAAAAAATGACTTTCTTCATATTCAATGAAAATTCTGTCATTATACAGAGTAGCCAAAATCCTCCAAATTCAGACTTCGCTAAGCAGGCTCATTTCTATATACTATGTAACAAGTCCTCAACAGTTTTGCCCAGTAAAAAATAATCATACAATAGCATGTATGCTGGGATACTGCACCAGACTCAGAAGACCAAATTCTAGTCCACATTACAAGGTTTGTGAGTTACACTAACATTCCCTTCTGTCTGTGTCACAAAACCAGTATGTATTTTAGCTCCATTAGTACAATTAGAACAAAAACTTAACCGCTGTGAAAGAGCATTATCAAAAACCTTTGTTCATAATGCATATCATTCAAAGACCTCACAATGGTTTAATAACACACCAGCAAGGCAAATATCTGCTCTTTAAAGATACATATGTTACGATACAGATCAAGGGACCTTCCCACGGTCACGCTGCATTGAGAGCAGTTCCACAGCACACCTTGTTCCACAAAGGTGTTCAGGCTGTTTATGGTTGCTTTTAGCGTGCATTACAAAGATACACACATTACTCGACTTTAGGCATCTAATTTAAGGTGCTTAAGTTAGGAGGTTAGTGTCCTGTATAGTCAGTTGTATACAATAGGTCTTTGCAAAGGTTGTTTTATAGCTTGAGCTTAATTCAGGATGCTGTTTTGGAAGAGTCATTCTCCCTCTTCATTGTCTACTTGCATCAGAATCTGGGCCGTCTAGCTCACTATTCTTGTGCCAGAATCTGGGCAGCCTAGCTCACTATTCTTGTGCCAGAATCTGGGCAGCCTAGCTCACTATTCTTGCACCAGAATCTGGGCAGCCTAGCTCACTATTCTTGCGCCAGAATCTGGGCAGCCTAGCTCACTATCTGGGCAGCCTAGCTTCCCACAGAAGCCTGACCCAACCTAATTCAGGGCTGCACAGCAAGGGAGTAGGACTGTGCAGCTAGTGAGATGTTGGCACTGTGACTGGGTAAAGCTGTCACAAGACCACTCCTTTCGCTACCCAAGTCAGATGCAGTTGACTAGGTGTAGTTTCATGGGAGGTTTAAACCAATCTAAGACCCTATTACCGCTACACTGTCCCTTGTATAGCATTAGCATGTGTGCAGCCATGCAGACAGATCAGAGATATGATACAGCTGAAAAACAGGGTGCTTTTTAAAATAGTGTTCCAAAGGGGTGGCAGGCAGGGAATGGATGGGACTGTCTCCTTCACTGGCAACTATTATGAAAATGTCTCCATCATTGACAAAGGAACTTAACACATAGCACATATTAAGCTGTAAGTTACTTTCATAGGTTCCTTTTTACACTTCCTGGTTAGACAAATCTTTTGTCCAAGTCTGTTATAGAGTCAGGGATGAGAGGCCTAACTCCTACTCCCTTCCCAATCCCATGGCTGACTGGAAAAACTTTGGAGCGTCTCTGTAACTTACGCCTGAAACTTGGTCACTGACTGAAAGTCACAGTTTTCAGTACCTTAGTAAGTTTTAAAGCACTATTGCTTTCATAGAATATTTCTATATAAGTATCTGTCCCTCAGCAGAAAAAAAATTAGAACTTGCACACATGAGAACGAAGTCCGCAAAACCATGAGTTATTGTAAGTTTGCTGATCTGAGGGAGCTGGTCCATGCTCATGCTTTTAACCTGCGATAAACTCAAGGTAATGAAATACAGTTAGCGCTCATTCATTAAGGGCTAATCTTCTATGAGCTGTGAAACACTGGAGAAAGATCTTGCAAGGATCTGATATTCTGAGAATCATTGCCTGGCAAATTTAGGCTACTTAACCGTAGCACTTTGACGTCATAAACCTTCCAGTTATTTCTGAAGACGTAGGCTTCAAAGTTAAAATGTGAAAGTCATTCTTGAGATGTCCAAAATGTACTTTGGAGGTTTTGTTTACAAAATCATGTTCTAGGTCTTCCTATCAAAAAAAAGCAGCTATTTCCTTTGTCATTATTCAGCTCTGAGTTTTTGCTATCTTTTAGAAGCTTTCCATTTTAAACAGAACTTTCTGTTGTGTTTATAACTGTGCACATCATATTAGAGCTATACGGCATGCTGAAAGCACCAAGATTTAACTTTTTTTTCCAGCTCTGAGGTTCATCTTCAGTCATGACTGATTTTCAACAAGACCTTCATAATTGATGAACTAGATAAGTGAAAATGAAATTTTCAGTTCTTCATTTTTTTTTTCTGTCACAAGTTTCTAAAATATATACAATATTTAGTCATGCAGTGAAAAGAAGAACATGCTTTTACAGTCAGGAGCCCAGCTGAAGGATGGAATTTTATCCTTATGAAACCACACAATATTATTTTGGGGGGCAGACATCCCTTTATCATTGTGTCACAATTCTAGAATACTACAGAATTAATGCACCAGTCAAAGTATATGGATTTCCCCCACTCAGAGCACTCAAAATCTCTTCTTCAAGTTAGTTAAATATTCAAAGGTTAAAAGAGAAGGAAGATAAACATTCCTGCCAAAGATGCATCTATTCCCAATGGAAAGAATTCCAGGAGATCAAGTTCTCCACTAGTATATCCCCTGAAAGGTGACACAGCATGTTACATTGTAATATCACATAAAACATAATGCTGCTCCACTTCAAAATGGGTCATTCTGCTTACTTGGTTGCTGTTTCACTGAACATGTGGCTTGTGCATGAACTAAGAGCCGGCTTCTCTGAATGCACTTAATACAGATGAAATTAAAAGACAGAGATCCTCTGAAGTCCCATGAAGAAGGTGAAGAGTTTTTTTAGTATACAGGCTTTTAAGGAAATTTTGTCTACTCAGATTCTTGCCTAAAGATCCATTCAGGGTTTTCGCTTAATCTTATATCACTCTGCCATTCTCTGTTATCCTAAAGCTCAGAACCACTGCTTTTTTCGCCTTCAAACACAGCCCGCCAAGTTAATCTATAGTTTGCTTTTGCTGCTCCTTCTACTTTGTATCACTAGATATCCTCCCCCACAAAATACAGATCTGACTCTAGATTGACAAATCCCAGCTCTTTTTTTAGTCCTGAACTGATTATTTTGGTTCAAACAAAAATCACAGTCTCAGCTTTTCACATCTTTGCTTAATTTGGATATTCAGATAGGTTTCCTATTTATCTACATGATTTAAACCCAGGCAATAAAATGTAGTTATACCTTTGACAATCTCATTTACTAACTGCAACATTTTACTCACTGGTTTTAAGAAATGCTTTTACTAGTGACTGAAAAGCGTTAATCATCTGGTCACTGAAGTTTGATATTACGTCACAGTTTGAGCTTTCATCTTTAGCATCTGCTGGCACATGTGGTTGTCGACCTCAGCTGTGTTCTGAGTCACTTAAAAGGTTTTTAAAGTATGCATATGAAGTGTGGAATCAGAGTATTAAATACTTTTCAGTGCTTGTAATAGTCACCGCTGAGTTTCTATATCAGAATGTATATAAGGTCTGTAGAAAGCATTCAACATCATAAAACAACTAGGGAATAACATTGATATGCAGCTTTCAAAAGAGGGGAAGAAGCAGGGAAAAAAGGAGAAAAATATGAGGTAGAAACTGGGATGAAAAAAGTTTTAAAACAAGTAATGACAGCTAATTCTTCTAAGCAATGTGAAAGCTGGATAGGTGGCAGTGAAAGAGAGAAGGTAGCCAGAGTTTATTGGGATAGATACTTGAAGCTAACGTTCGGGTTAACTTGGCAGTAACTGATGCTAAATTTTTGAGGCTTAAAGCCAATTTGTCATTATTTAACCCAAAATCTGACCATAAAAAAGAGGAAGTATTCAAGTAAATATAGATAATGATTTCATTTTGTGTTTTTAATTTACTGAATTTTAAAGATCTATCCTCAGCAACTGGGACATTTCCATATTTTGTAAAACCAAGTACGTGAAAAACAGCAAAAGAAATTGTCGTCACTGATGACAGCAGAAGTTTTTACTAGAACTTTGAATCTTGTTTTCCATCTGTGTTAAGCAATTTATGTTGTTCATTTAGCAATACTTAATAGGAGTGAACTATGTGTACAATATTTTTCAGAAGGGAACTATCTGTCTAAGGAAAGTGAAACTGAAGACCCCAATGAAAAGCATAATATAACAGTGGCAAGTTTAAAGACATTCATCTATTGAAAGATTAATTGTGCTTTGGAAGAAAAAGGTTATTATTTAGAGCATGATATTGAGCAACGCTAAATGTGACTGCAGAACTACAGAGGCCCTAAAACATCAGCTGCGATTCAACTGTTCCAGCGTGAAAATGGTAAGCATAATGATTTCTTTTCAGTACCGGGCTTTCTAATATAAACAAAACTGAGACCATTTAGATCACTTAATTTAAGTTCAAAGAATGAAGTGTAACCACACGAAGTAGATGCATCAGCACTTTTACCTTGGAGTTCCTGTCAGTTCATTTGTACTGAATGAAGTAGTTACAGGACAGTTTGCTAACAGGGTCATCAAGCATCTGAAAAACTTTATCCAGTCAGCTGTAAAAACTGGCATTAATTGGTCTAGTTTTCTTTACTTCCTGCAGTTGCTCAGTACAGAGGAACAAATCACTTACTTAAATTTTTCTGCTAATATTCACATGGGTTATTATAAAAAGTCCAAGTGAGTATATTTTACACATTAAGATTTTGTATATTTTTAAGCTAAGGCATATTTCTACCTACAAAGACGTGATTTGAGAACAGGCTACAGCAGAAGACAAAAGCTTAGCTTTTCAATCCTGATTTCAAAACTGAAACCATCCATGATCTTGGGCAAGTCTATCAGATTATTGGTATCAGATTCCTCATCCCTGAAAATGGGTTGATAACACTTATCTCATATGCTGTTGTGAGGATTATTGTTTGTAATGCTCTCTGAAGACTGAAAACACTCCCTAAGTATAAACATAGGACATTTTTAATTATGTCTCAAAGGAGATGTAGACAAGTAACTCTTCATAAAAAATTTGGAATTCCAGTTTAGAAACTGTACTTACTTCAAGTCTTTGAACAATTTCTCTGGTGTCTTCAGTACAATTATCTGCTGCAGACAGAAGAATACATTCTCCTCTTTCATAAAATATTTTGATGCTCATTAATCCAGACGTCCATCCAATAACATCTCTGCAGGAGCAGTTAAACACAACATTTTTTGATTCCTTTTCAATCAACATGATAAACTCATTGGAGATTCCAAGGAGACATTCAATGTCAGCAGACTGGCCAAAATCTCGTGCAATCACATTCCACATAATTGCTCCAACACTGAATAGATGTGCATCTTTCCTTGGTTTCACTTTTTCCTTTTTTTTTGCTCCTAAAGTAATAAAGCTAAACTTTGCTGAAGTATCCACTGTAGCTGTGGTAACAAAATTTTCTGCCAGATCTTTCAAGTATTCTTGACGTGTCCTCGTGGCCATGGCTCGAAATTTTTCCGACTTATGTGCTGCATTTTCAGCATTAATAACTTTGGCTAAAAGGAAGTCCCTAAAGACTGCTGATTTGGGAAAAGTTACTCCTTTGGGAATGGGTGGACCGAATGGAGGTACATCTTTCGATCGTGAAACACCAACACTGGAAATAGAAAGAATAAAAATACAATGGTTAATTCCTAAAAAAAAGATCACATGATAAGCCGAACTGTGATCTGTGCAGTCCATTTACACAGTTGGGTTTAGCTTTGACATGTCAATTTTCAGACATTTTAGACACATCAAAGAAAACTGATTGGGTTGTCTGTTTTAAAATGGCTTTTTTCTTTTAAATACATAAAAGACATTATGGATGTATCTTACTAACACAAAAAATATCAAGGATGACTTCCTAGGGTGTCACTGTCTCCTTTCTTTAATGGAATAAATACAAAAATGCTTTGTGAGACATAAATGGGAGAAGTATTTTAAAAATTTTTTTTTTATGTAAGTCTGACTATCATTTTCAGCTGTCACTCAGTTGCATGATCTTAAAACTAAGAAATATATAAATAGAAACAGAATTTATTTTAATCCTCAGACGTTTTGCTACAATGAAGTGTGAAGAGAAAGAAAAAGTATTGGTGTCAAATGCATCTATAAGGGGAGCATTCTGCACCTGTTTAAGTTGCCTACTCTATGTTCATAAAATTTCAAAATACCTGCAATTCTGGATATAGACAGTACATAGCATGATGTAAAAGAAATAGGAATATTTTCTCATTGATACAATTATACCTACAATTGATATCTACATAATGTATTTCAACCAAAAAAGGATTTCAAAATACTGTGCAAACTACGTACAACTACTACTAGTTTGACTGAAATGCAGTCACATTTGAGATGAGACAGATATCATTTAGTAATAAGAAAAATGTAACTTATGAAATGTTATGTATATTATTAAACACAAAAGAGCTACTGAAACAAAATCAAGTTCTGAAAGATAGCTCAAGTTCTGAAAGACGATAAAAGACAGTGATATGACCCTACCTCATGACGTACTTTAATTTCATTCTAAACAATGAATAAATAACGTTTATACATGCTAAATTTGCACTATTATGCTTCAAGTCCTTATCATTATTTGCACAATTCCCAAACAGTTCAGAACTATGCTTCCACCCCAGTTACCTTGCCAGAATTCATGATGTAGTTACTTAAATGTGAGAGTTAGGGTAATCTGAAATTTGAGGTGTTTTTATACTCCCCGAAAGGCCTCATTCATGTGCTTAAAGGCTACAACTCATCCTGTTGTCATATTGTCATATTCAGGGATTTATACAGGTTAATAGCCTTCTAAAATACTTTATTTTAAATCACTTTCTTTGAAAAAGGAAATGTGCAATATAAATTCTAAATTAATTTCTATTGCTATGTCTGCAAATCTTATTTTCACTAACTTGTTATATCCCCATTCTGTGCCCATAAATCAGCAACAGAGTTCTGCATATACCCATTTAAGTCTACAAACTGTGCCCCATAACTCTAGATGTGTGCAAGGGAAAAATTGGGGTTTCAAACTCACAGAAAATGTAGCAGAAATTTTAAAATTGTATACATAATTTCTCTAGGAAATACAAAACTGTTAGAAGAGTTCCATTGTAGTCTTAATAACAAACTTAAATAGTTATAAGGCTCTACTCACCTATAGCACACATTTTCAGTGCAAGGATTATGCACTTTGACTATGACAAATACATGTTGAAAGTGGGAACGAATATTTTTTGGAGTAAAAGGAAGTGCTCCTGGCTCTTGGAAGACAATGGTAACTATGTCATTTCCTATATGCCTTTTCCTTAGCAGCTAGACAAGAAACATGCATTGAAAAATTAGTTATAAAAAAAATAATCACAATTTCTTCAGTTATAAAAAAAATAATCACAGTTTCTTCATTTTAGCAAAAAAAAACCCAAACCAAAATAAATGAAGCTTAATTTTTCAGAAATAACTTTTAATTAATCATATCCTGGATAGCTACAGATAAAGGATATTGGACTGAACTGCAAAAAGATAGGGAAAGGAAAATGGGCTAAGTTCACAAAAATACTCATGAGTTCTCTCGCATCTCCACACTAGTTCTGCATAGTTTCTGCTCATTTCTCTTTTATTCTATGAGAAAAATGTATTTCTCTTACTTTAGTGCATCACTTTAGTAATAAAAAAATGTTACATCACTTGACATTTCTCACTATCCAGAGAACTGTACATCAGTTCCCTCTTTACAGTGTAATATTTGCTTCTATATGAAAAATATAATATTGCTTTTCTTTCTCAGTAAAACTTCCTTTTCCATGTTACATTTTTATTAAACGTTGTCCTTAATATTATGATAATTTTTTTTAAAAAATAGATTATCATGAATACTCATCACAAATTTTAACAACTGCATACCTGAGGAACAGAGCTAAGACTCATGGAGAAACAATAGCTATTAGAAACTCATTAATTAAAAACTTATTCTTGTAATTGGTAGGTTTCATCATCAAAATATATTTAAGGAATAATTTAAAGTACTAAATCATTGTTACAGGCTAAAACTTAATAAAAACTACAAAACACGTCCAGCAATAAAGGACCACTTGTCTCTCTGCCCCAAAAAACCCCCAACAAAACAACACAGTAAAATGATGTTCACTTTTCTCATGGAAGTATATTGTACCTCTCAAATTTTTTTTTTTAAACTTTTTCCTTAAATACCTTTGCTTATAAAACATCCATGTATATTACCACATGGAAAAAAGTAGTCTAGCATGTGCTACATTTTAAATATCCACCCAAAGCCTGCCAAAGGCCTTGCATTGTCAACTAATAGCATACAGACACTTAAAGCTTTACCTTAGCTCATGTGTAACTAAAAAGGATACAAGAATAAATTTATTTGAAAACTTTATGACAGAACAAGTGAAAATGTCTCTATCGAGTTCATTTTACAGAACATAATCTTTCTAATAAAAGAGTATTTGCTTGTATTTTCTCAGTTCCATTAAAAGTTAGTATTTCAGCTACCAACAAAAAAAGCAAAGTTGCACATGCTAAAGCCTAAGACCCATAAGTATGTTTCATTATATCTCCTAAAATAACACAAAGGATGGTATTCTAAAGGTAGTAAGAAGGGCCAAAGCCACAATTTTAAAGTATATCTATGTTATTTTAAACATAATCAAAATCCCAAATGCAGATTAAAGAAATAAATCATCTGATGAAACTTAAAACAGATACAAGAACAGAAAATATTTGGTATAAGTCATGTGGCTCAGTCAAGCTTTCAGGTTTTTAAGACTAAAATAACTGGCTATTTGAGCAATTTAAGATATAGATCCTGTTGCATACAAATTACAGTAGAAGTACACTACGTGGAACTGATCACAGAACTAAGTGTGTCAGGTATGCTTTAATTTGCTAAGCTAGTGAACCATACAAATAGATCATAGTAGTGAAGCATTTAGAGGTTATTATTATCTCTCAGGTTGGAATTTACACTGCAGTTAAATTTGTAAGAAACCTTCCAATTATGAGGTACAAGGTGATTCATTTCTGCTTTTGTTATATAACTAACTGTCCAATTACTCTTTCTTGCTGTAGTGGTTCATGCCTATGCCTATACGTTTCCACAGAGCAAAAATACAAAAATTAGAAAGCAATATCCTGTTTAAAGTTATATTTATTTCTCAAGACAATCACTGTTTTCAAGAATATTTTCTTCTTTTGTAGACCTCTTTAGGAGGTTCTGCTTGCCATCATAGGTTGCTTAAGCAAGAATAGCAGTCACTTAATAAGAGGTAAGTTTTAGAAATGTTTGAAATTTTACTAGCAAAAATAGTCTTTTCAAAATTATGGCAGTTCCCATATCCCATCCCTAAACTATTTTTCAAGAGCTTAAACCTCTAAGAGGCACAAAAATAGGGAATAGGAAGTCAGGTCATTATTTTTAAGAACCTTACCAAGCTTGCAGAGATCTTAGTGACTCCTTCAAAATTTTAAAATAAAATCAGTGTAACACTTTTATAAATAACTGTCATGCACAAGTGGTCAGTGAACTTCAACACAATGCAAAGGCAAAGCACAGTCGTGGCTGTGTGCAGAGTATCATAATGCAAAGAACTTCGAAAGGGGAGAGAAGTAAAGCGGGGTGATCTGGAAGATGGAAAGAAGTGCTCTGGATAGGATAAAGGAATAGGAAAAGAATAAAGTATTGAATGGAGAAGAAGGACGGAACACATACTTCCCTGGGAAATGTGAGATAAGGATAGCATACTGAAAATGAAAAAGGAATTGAAGGAAACTGGAACTAAGCAAAAAGATTTGTAAGAAACCCTTTTCTAGTTTCCATTCTATGACCTAGGTTTTCCTCCCAACTTTTACCTCCTAGGTTTTTTTCAGGTTCTCAGTTTCCCCTTCCTCTCCCATTTTGAGGTCTGCTCAGGTTTGGGGTTTTGGGGGGTTGTTTATTATAATTTTTTTTTAATCTGCCTTTCTAACATACTCTAAAGAATCTCATGCCAATGCAGAGCACAATAGGAACTCTCAACAGGGTGCACAGATTACAGAGGATTATTTACAGTATGGAGGCATCAAACACACTTTGACATCATTCTAGTATCAGTCTAAATTGGCATGGTAGAATTTGAAAATGAACCCAGTTAAGTACAACAGGCAGCCGACAGGAAATCAGTGAAGTTTTATATAAGAATACAAGACACGCAAAAGGGAGTCCGGTAAGGAAAATATGTTAGAAAAGCAGAATCCGTTAGATTAAAATTATTTACACCAAATAAAATCTCAAAATTAATGTAGTAACTATTAACTACTCAATTCTTAATTTTCAGATATGCATCTCTGAAGAAAAGTACTGTCTTAAAACTTAGCATATTTACAGGTTATGCCCAGACAGAAAAATCTACCACTTCAGTGGAATTTTAATTGCCTAGTCAAACTGTGAAACAACAAGGAATTCTTGTCAAAATAGCAGTGAAATATATTCTTCATTCAATTAAATGATGAAATGTTAAGAAATAAGAAAATCTTCAAACTTATTTTAGTACTTCTTTTAGTATTTTAGTACTTATTTTAGTATTTTCTAAAATAAGTGGTTTCAAAAGTTTTATTTTCAATTTTTGTTCTTAACCAATTCCAAAACCAGAAACAAATGGCAAAAGATATTTTATCAGATCTGGTTAAACCAAGTTTGGTATAACCATATCTTGTTATCCCAACCATTTTAACAGTAGCTTAAATTCAACAAGTTTATTTCATTATTGCATATCTGTTTCATTTTTAAGTTTTCATTAAACCAGGTGAAAACTGATTATTTGAACTGATTTGGATTAATCAGGTCTGACCATGTGTACACAAGCAGACTGCCAATGTGTGAATGGGAAACTTGCAAGGGAATGATTTGGAAAGGGGCATCGCAAAGGTAAAGTTTAAAGGGGAAAGCCTTGAACTATGATTTGAAGAAAAGGCCAGTAAAGGAAAAGGAACTGGCCACACCAGGGCTGGTAGTCTTTTCTGTCCTAGGGAAGGAGCAGCTGACTTGAAAGTTCCCAGCCTATGTTGCAGCCAAAGTGAGAATTACCTTGCTCTTTGGATCTCCTGCTGGCTCTAAAACTAGAGGGATGTCCTGATCAGGGACCAAGCAGGGCGTAGTTATGTCCTGGAAGAAGCAACAAACAATTCTGGTGTGGCCTATTTTTGGCTCACAGGTATTTGGAATATAAGCAATGCTCAGTGCTTGCTCATTGAAGGTCGTAGTCCTAGATGATGAAGAGTGACTCAATACCTTGCCCAGTCATTACCAAACAAGGGACATAGGGATAGGATGCAATAACCTTATTGCCAGTACATACACAGTATGTTAGCAAAAAATAACTATCGAATGGGGGTCTTCATTGCTAACATAATCTACAAGGAAAATTACCATGGTCCCTAACTTCCCCTTACTTGGGTATGTAGAGTTAGTGAGCCAAACGCTGAAGAGACAAACAACATCCATATTCCACAGCACCTGTAAGTCTCTCTGTCTTGAGCACAACTGATGCAACTGCATCTGTGGTCTTCAGCATCTAAAATGTCTCAAGGAAAGAGACCTAACTGAATTTTATCCTAGCTTGTGAGAAAAAACACTGCTGATACACTTCACACTTCAGTATGTATTTTGGAACTAAACAGTGATATAAGAAAATTAAACAACCATTATGGATCCCTTTTGCACATTAAGGCTGGCTAAATTCTGGTCATTTGGGTGCGCTTGTCACATTTCATTAAGATAGTGTCCATGCTGTGCAAATACTGCTAGATCCCAGCACCTAAAAAAAAAATAATGTGGTGGGTCTTCAGATAGGCATACTACTTGAACTTGGAAAACTGCCACGTTATTTGGATCCCAAGAAAGCCATGAATAACAACACGGTGCTTCTACTAAATATTGAACCTGTTAAAGTGACAATGATGAGAGCTTACTAAAACACTGTGGAAAGGAGTGCTTGTTGCTGGGGAAAACCATGGAGTTAAAAGTGGAAGATTTTGCTGTACACAAGAATTGGCACCTGACTATAAAGAAAGACACATAAGGAAATGATGAGAATGAAAGGAAGACACAGGAAGAAGTGAAAGGACAGTAATAGGGGATGGCTGAGCAACACAGCAGTGAAGCTGACAAACAGCAAACAATTATGAAAATTAGTGGATCGTGGCAAGAGGATATCCTATTCTCACAAAAAAGGGAAAGTCATGAAAGACAACAACAAAAGTAATAAACTCCAAGTAAGGCCATATTTACTGTCAGTGCCTGTGATTAGCTATGAAAATATTAATTTTTTCCTTTTAAGGCAAGCTCATTCAGTGTATTATATCTTCTTAACAGTGTACAGTTTTCCCTATTTACATGTGCTTTCAAGTCAAAGATTGTTATGACTGATTACAGACTCCTAGTGTGCTTACTAAATTAATCCTGTATTGTAATAAAGTGTAAGGGAAAGTTTAGAGAAGTGGAACAATCTCAAATCAATGATGATCCGATACTTTGATTACTAGCTATTGGCACAGTTGAGTGTGTGATATAGCTGAACATTCTGGTCATGAAAGCCACACATTTTAATATGTGAGTCATCTAAACGTTCGTATTATTCATATGGTGAAGATTCCTAATTTAGTTTCTTTAAACCACATTTAAATCCTGAGTGTAATGGAGTAAAATTTGCAGTTGTCTTAACTGTTCACTTGAAACAATTCTTCAAACAGTTCAGAACATTATGCACTATTTAAAATACATAAATACATTATATACTTTCTTCCATTTCAATTTTCATTTATCCTTTTTCAAGAATTTTAATCATTTTCTTTTATCTTTTTCTTGCTGCCTTGACACATCTCTTTTTCTTCCCACAAGACCTATTGATAGGGTAGACATGAAAGATACAACTCACATATGGTTTAACAATCAGTAACAATATTTTGTATGCTGTTCAAAAAGAAAGTGAGATAGCATCTTTATTTCATGACAACCCTCCAAAACGACTGAAATCTTTATATCTTGCATGGCAATGAGAGAATATTCTAAAACTAACTAAATATATACAACACTTATTTCTGCAGACTTAGAAAAATGCAGAGTAGTAGCTCAGAAAGTTACAAACTATCACCAGTCTGACCTATGAGCAATTCTACTGCTTTTTTTTTTTTTAAGTGTTAATGTTGATATATTATACCAAATGTGCTTGTACTTTTTAATTCAGTCACAAGAAATATCAGAGACAGGCAAGACAGAGTCACCTTACTGGGGCACCGCTCACTTTGGATGCTGTGCTGTTTTTTTAGCCATCCTTAATGCTTTAAGGATATTCTGAATTATTACATAAGCAAAGGGAATTCCTCCAGAAGTTTTCTGTCTTCACAAGCAGACACTTTGAAGGTTACAGTTAAGCATTTATTACTAAGCTTTATGACACATTAATAAACATTTCAAGATCTGTAACACAAGGATTAAGTGGAATTGTTTTAAAAATCTTATTACATGCATATTTTAACCATAAGACTATTTTCAAGCTTCATTCCATTCAATGTTTAAAACATACACAAGATGTAAATCCAGTCCAAACTGAAAATAACTCATTCACTACAAGCAACATTACCTTTTAATAATATCATGAAATGGGGGAGATGATAGAATAAGTTCCTGAATTATATAGTATAAAAATCCTATGAGATTTCTAGTGCCTTATAATATTTCAAGAAAAAAAATAAATACAATTGAGTCATACTTCATATAAAACAATGCAGTTTTAAAATCAGTATTACTTTAAAAAAACCCTCAATGTCAAACATTTATAATGTAAAATTACAATGAAAAGTTAAAAACCATACCTGTTGCCTGTTACTGGGCATGTATGGAAGCATTGTTGATACATGAAACATTAACTCATAATCTTTATAGGTAGTATAGAGGGAATGAGTTCCTGTTGAATCAGCTGAAAATGAATTTAATCGCAAGAAAGTCAGTAAAATAGTACATTCATACTACTTTTTAGGACACCACTCTTTGCATGCTATGATTTAAATCTATTAATGCAACTTAAAACGTTTTTCAATAGAACAAAACCAACTTGCATCAGCTAAAGATCTACTCTTTAGTTTCATATTATGACATAGAAGGGTCCTGCAAGAAATTGTCCAAAGAGTTTGCTGTCTATTAGGCCTAAATGTACATAATACATTGTAGTACAACATCAAATAATTTTATTGGGAATTTTCAGATATTTTAAAATTATTAAAATACATTTCATATATGATATGACTTAATATTTTTATTTCTTTTATTTAGGAAGTTTATTAATAGAGTTAGCATTTCAGAATGTTTACAGCGAATTAGATGAGTTTTACTCTGTAGTCATAAATTAATCCTTTTTATACACCTTCTTTAATATGTATGGATTATTTAAGTAGTATGTATGGATTATTTAAGTAAGTACAATTAACTTTAAAGCAGGAGGTTGGGAACACCCTATTGAGTCAACGCAACTATCAATTTTTCTCCTATTTTTCCATGTTCACTCATTTTCTTATATAATTTTGTATTATCTACAGCAATAAACATTCTCCAGCACTCTCTTCCACACACTGTTTAAGGTTTTGGGGTTTTGTTTTGTTTTAAGTAGTAACTGTATTCTAAAAAGAAATTGATTGGCCATGTTAGTTTTTACACTTAAGTGTAAAATTCAACATAACCATACTGTATCTGCAGCCTTAAATCTGAAAATATTTATGTGCGTGTATAATTTTGAACACATTCATATTAAAACTGGCTTCATCAGTTATGTTTTTACAATAATAAAATTAACTTTATTTATTAATATTGATGTAATATAAACTACAGTTACATAAGAAACAGGGAGCATAATTTCCACTGAAGTTTCTTACTTAAATTTTGCTAAAAAAAGCAAACATTATTGCACTCCTTTATTTTAAAATCTTTGTTGAAAATATAATTCCATTATAACCTTTCCATGGCATTTTGAAGATAGAAGGAGGAAATAAATTATACTGTGAAATACAAATATCTGCCTAAATGACACTGATCCCAGCAACCCTACTCCCTAACTCCTTTTGTAATTAGATATTAAATAAAGTCACATTATCTTGAACAGATATTGCACAAAACAATCCCTTTAAATACTTATTTACAGAAAGGCAGATTCTTTACCCTTAAATCAATGCTTTTCTAATACAACATCCTACTTAGTTGAATACTTTTGATTTATCACCTTGACTTTGGAAATGAGCTAGCAAGTTTTACTTCTGGAATCTAGTGCCTTACACTAAGCAAGCTGAAATCTTCTAACTCAACAGATGCTTTGCTGAACACCTACTAAGGCCTACTGTGATTAAATTTACATAATGGTTACTACTACAACATTACTCTGCTGACAATTTTAGTTTAAAAAAAAAAATATATATCTGGGATAACATTTTTGCACCTCATTCCTTTCTGAACATTAGTTTTATTTTACAAAGTCTGAGAAAAATTGGCTAAACTTTTTTTTTCAGTTATGAAACATTTCTGCTTTTTTGCAGAAAAGCACCTGTTACCAATTGAAAGTGAAACAGCACTATTCCTCTGTAGATATAAAATTGCAATGTTTCCTTTCAATATAAATTGCAATTTCTTTCACCTTAGTTTTTCTCTTCACAGGTATAAGGAAATTAAATGCAAACATAATCCAATTTATCCATAATATAAGTCATAATTAAAGTCTCAACATTACAAATGAGAATGTTAATATTCCAATAATAATATATTAATTCCTCATTTCTAGTAGATTGATATGTTTTAAAACATATACTAAACAAATTATATAATGTTGAATTGGTCTAATTTTCTTATTTCTTGATCTTGGGATTTAGAATCTCATGCCATTAAAAATGCACTAAACAAGGGCAGAAAATAATTTGTAGTTAATATATTCCACATGTTCTTCACACTTGCACTGGGTCTGGCTTGGATGGAGTTAATTTTCTTCATAGCAGTCCATATGGTGCTGTGTTTTCTATATGTGATCAAAACAGTGTTGGTAACACACCAGTGTTCCAGCTATTGCTGAATAGTGCTTGCATAGCATCAGGGCTTTCTCTGTTTCCTCACACTGCCCCCCAGCCCACTCCAGGGAGTATGCTAGGGGTGGGCAAGAGTTTAGGACGGGACGCAGCCACGACAGCTGACTTGAATTGACCAAAGACATACTCCATACCATATAATGTCATGCTCTGCGGTAAAACTGGAGCAGGGGGAGTTTTTCCATGGTAGCTGTTGCTGAGAGACTGGCTGGGCATCAGTTTGCTGATGGGAAGTGGCAAGTGATTGCCTTACCATCACTTGTTTTTGTGGGGGTTTTTTGTTGGTTGGTTGATTGATGTGGTGGTGGGTTGGTTTTTTGGTGTTGCTTTTTTCGTTTATTTTTTGTTGTTGTTGGTTTTGGGCGGGGAGAAGGGGTGTTTGTTTTTTTCCTTTCTTTCCTTCCCTTATTGAACTGTCTTAATCAACTCAAGTTTTTCTTGCTTTTACTCTTCTGATTTTCTCCTCCGACCTGTTGGGGGGTGAGTGAGCAAGAAAGTGGGTGGGGGCTTACCTGCCAGACAGGTCAACCCACCACAACATTCTAAATTCCACAATAAATGGACCAATTAACTACTTTTATCAAAATATTAAATGAACAGACCAAATTTTAGAAAATGAACTTTTTAAAGAAAACACCCACAGCTAGTCAAATGTGAACCCTACATAAACTGAGCAAGAAATATTACTGAAACATTATGCCTACCAAAAATGTAGCTACTAGAGGTGAAATTATTATACTATTCTGAACCTGCAGGCAGTCAGATCAATGTATTATCCAATTATAAATATGACATGCAGTAATACTTGTTGGGCCATTATACTAAAAAACAAAGTATAACACAAAAAAGATAAGTCAGTATTTTACATTTAATATAGAACTGAACATTATATCTTTGTGAACTCTCTTAATTCCATTCTGTTTGTTGCAAACTATGAGAACATATTATGACAGGCCAATATCATTAATGGCACACAGCATTAGTAAAACATTAAAATTATGTTACTGCATGATACATACACAATGCCAATCAGCAATGTACATTCATACTGAAGCACGGCAAATATAGAAACTGAATTTGCTTGACAGACCAGCATATATTTTCCTAAGTAAAAATTACTAGGTGATATTCAGTCATGCTCTGATTGGGGGGGAAAAAAGCAAAACCAAAACACCCCTTACTCCTTTGAATTTTTCATCCCTATTTATCAATACACCCCAAAGTCTGACATCCACAGCATGTTAATAAATATTTCTACACATTAATTTGAAAAATGAGTTATTATTCTGTACTGAAATAGGATGCAATAGTCTCTATCAAGCCTGAATTATTAAAGTGAAACAAGCATGGATTTAAGCAAAGAGGCAATAATGTTAATAAAAATAAATGTGGTGCTTACGCAGGTTGACAGGGCTACGGAATTGCAGCTTTCCTACCTTGTAAGTCATAAATTAGAATCTGTCATAGGATTCAGCCCACTTTTTTTACCATCTCCCACCACTGCTAGAGATGGAGAATGTGAAGGATTTCTTGAGTTGGAAAGCTGGTCTCCCTTCATTGCAAAAGCATGAGGTTTTATTACCAACTTTGCATATCTCATTTCCCGCTGGAGATTGGCCTATTGACAGTTTATCTGCACTGGGTACCAACCACAATGTACACGCACTAGACATTTCCAAAAATTTCTAATATGAATCATTAAGTCTCTCTCCTAATGCTGTACAGGAGATGACAGTCCATCAGGGCACTACCAGTTTGAGAACAGAAGAGAAATCCTTTTATGACTATGACACTGATCAGTGTTCAAATGTACCATTTAAAAAAAAAAAAAAAAATCCAGACGTATTCCAGTTAAATGAAGACTGATGTTGAAGTAGCAAAAACACGCAAGAGATTCCTAAGAACCAGGCTAGATCAGGTGGATAAGTGGCAGGAGGAACAGAGAAGCAAAAAAGAGGACTTATCGATTCCTAGATCTCTGTGACTATCTGAAAGGCAAAATATCCCTTGCAAGAAAAGAAGATCTTCCCTTAATTTCCTTTAAGTACATCTTTCTAAGTTTCCTTCTTGCCAGCTTATCTCTAACAGGTCAAGGAACTTTCCCATTTGATTAGAAGAGTAAGTAGAATACACACACAAGTAGCAGGATTTAATAGTTTAAAAAGATGCACTTCGCTAATAAAAATATTCCTTTTCTGTTATACACAGGCCATATACAGTTGTCCTGGTTTCGGCTGGGATAGGGTTAAATTTCTTCCTAGTGCTGTGTTTTGGATTTAGTATGAGGAGAATGTTGATAACACACTGATGTTTTCAGTTGTTGCTAAGTGCCCTCCTAGTCCAAGGACAGCTCCCATGCCTACTGACTGAGCTAGGTACACAAGATGGGAGGGAACATAAACAGGACAGCCAGCTCAGCTGGCTAATGGGGTATTCCATACCATGTGACGTCATGCTCAGTATATGAATGGTAGGCGTGATCCAGGAAGTACTGATAGCTACCTGGTTATCGGTCAGCGCAGGTGATGAGCAATTGCATTGTGCATCACTCATTTTGTATATTTTATCATTATCATTATTATTTTCCCTTTTCTGTTCTATTAAACTGTCTTTATCTCAACCCACGAGTTTTTCTCACTCTTACCCTTCCGATTCTCTCCCTGTCCCACTGTCGGGGGGGAGGAAGGGGAGTGAGTGAGCAGCGGCGTGGTATTTGGCTTCCTGTCAGGTTAAACCACAACAACAGTATATAAAAAAAAAAAATCTATTTTCAGGATGCAATACACAAACTACAGCAAAAATAAGGATACAAATCAAATCATAGAATCATAGAATGGTTTGTGTTGGAAGGGACCTTTAAAGGTCATCTAGTCCAACCCTCCTGCAGTGAGCAGGGACATCTTCAACTAGAGCAGGTTGCTCAGAGCCCCGTCCAACCTGACCTTGAATGTTTCCAGGGATGGGGCATCTACCACCTCTCTGGGCAACCTGTTCCAGGGTTTCACCACCGTCATTGTAAAAAATTCCTTCTTTATATCTAGTCTTTATATATATAAAAATAGTATGTTACAATAAAGTAGATGAATACCTAGATATCCTTAGATCACAGCTCATAGTGATCTGTTGTCAAAATCCTGTTAAAACTACATTAAGCTAAGAATGAGTTAAGTTAAATTTAAGGGCAGTGAAAAGCAGTGCTAATAAAGAAGTGTGTTAACGTATCATCGACTTTCTTAACAGCAATACTTCAGTTCCTATTTTTGCTACAAAACCCAACAAATTTGTACAATTATATTATTAAACTATGGCACTCAGGGAAACTGAAAGACCTGAGGAAATGGCAGTAATAGCACAGTGGTTAGGTAGATGAATGTTTATCAACTGCCGAATGTTAACATGCTTACTGTGCATGTGTGAGAAACTAGAAAACTGAGAAAACTTGATTGCCCCTCAAATATAAACATCGATATGTATGTTGATTAAACAAAAGTTTAGTTGAAATAAGGAAAATGGTCCCTTGTCATGACTCCATATTTTGAAATACGTATCTTTTTTTTTGCCTTTTTAAGGATAAGATGTTAAAGAGTAGCTGGGAAATTCTGAGATATATAAAAAATATCACTCACATAGTATGATTTTAACTAAGTGCAAACAAATGAAATAAGTTGCTTTGATTTTCAGTTCTACTAATGCCACAGAAAAAGTAAATAATCTTTCAGACAAGGTGTGATACATGCTTTTATCATATGCTTCATCTTCCTCATTTACCATATAATCTTACTAATCAAAAACCAAAGTCAAGAGCATGAAAAGACAAAACAGGATTTGCAGAAGATCAACTGAATAATTACAGTTTCTACTATAGGTTGAAAACATAACTTACTTTTATTATCTAGCTGAGCCCTGTATTTACTAAATCCTTTTAGCCGTACTCTCTGGCCCAGCAGATCAAGGAACTCTTCAAAAGCTGGTCCTGCCATCTCATTGTTATACATTTCTTCCTCTGTGCTTTGGCCTGCTTTGCAGTAAAGGATACCAATCTTATGTTGAAAACTCAGCTGAAATAAACAAAAAAATTTTAAAAAAAAAAAGGAAAGAAAAAATTACAGAAGCAAAGGAAAGTCAATACTAGAACAAATATTAAGAATTAAAATATTAACACTGTTATAACTCCTGGCAGATGTTATCTGAAAGTGAAAAAATAAGTGTTCTGATTTGGGAAATGAAGTCACCACAGAAAGGAAAAAAAAAACACCAAACCAAAAAAACCCCAACAACTATCTTGAAAGAAAACTGTATTGTCACTATCCAAACACAGATAAAAGCAGTACATGAAGACTTTTGAGTTAGTTATCTATAAAAGCACACTCTACTGCATGTTATATTACGAGAACTTTAATTGGCAATTTTTGTATAACTGTCTTCTTTCTCAGATTCAAAACAAGGTGAGATTATTTTCCCTTATTTGTACTTATTTCTTATTTAAAGTGCAGAGAACAGTAATTTCTGTTATACATATTCTTTTGCCCTCCCCATAAAATCATCCATTGTTAAAAATTATTCCCCATTTTCAAAAGTATACTTCAGGCTAGAAATCAGATTGCAGTTAAATAGTTTTGTTAAACAAACTACAGTCTCAATTCTAGAACATTAAAAAGAGATAAATTACTTCTATTAAAAAAACTATAAAAACTATAAAAAGTTAAGTAAAAAAAGAGATTATTACTTCTTGAGCAGAGTGTTCTCTTGTTTTCTTAGCTTTTATGCATACTTAAGATGACAAACAGGAAACCTCCGTGTGAATGGGTTAGTCCTATTATTCTTAACTGACAACTTTTAGAGCTTCACAAACTGACAGAGACCATCAGTGACACCAGATTTCCTTAAGACATTTATTTATATTCACGACTCAAATCAGCTCCCCAGCTGTAGACTTCTCTTAATCAAACTTCAGGATTAGTGTCTAAAATGTGTGTTATGCAAGACTGTATATATTCCTGTTAGAGCAAAGGTGACAAGAACAGTCTGCTTCACCTTAGTCATATGTAACACATGGTCTGCCATGTTACGTATATTGTAAAACTCAAATCCATAGACATGCTACTGCACTGATGTTTTACCACAGCAATTTTGAGGAAAAGCTACAAGATGAGAATACTAAAAGGTCGAGTCAAGAAAACAAACATTCATGAAAGAAGAAAATGTCAAAAATATCGTTCCAGACTTCAAATAATCCTTAACCTTCTCTCTTCAATAAATGCTGAATTTCTCCGTTGTAAGTGGAGAGTTGTATATAAGGCAGTTGCCAACAGTCAATTAAAAAAAAAAAAAAACAAAAAACAAACCAAAAAAAGAAAACCACTACCCAAATCCTCATCACCTCTGGAGAAATGAAAGCTTTCGCTAAGCTTTTATTAACCTAGTCTTCTGTGTTTTCATGATGTTACTGCTTTTCTCAGCTAGTATTCTTTTTGTCTCCCATGCAATTCAAGATTTAACTTGACAGCATTCTTGGTTTAACTATTTACCTTCATACACAACCAACACACAAAAAATCCCCAAGATGTCCAAGTTAATGAAGATTTTTGAAGGTCATAAATAGAATCATTGACACTAAGAATCTCATGCCCAAAAGGTAAATATATTAAAATGAAGTAACAGAGAAATGCTAGGCTGTTAAAGTCAATAGCAAAACACTTCATAATGTCAATTGGGCCTGGAGTTCTTTTCCTACTATGAAGTTAAGCCTATCAGTGGGACAATCTCTTCTCATTTTAACAGGCCTAACTCTGTGATTTCAGCAGATCTATATTCATGGCAATGCACTCTACAGAATTTGGTCTACTGGTGTAGAAAACCTGCAGCACAACAGGAATAAGAGTAATGTATGATGGCAGCCCTCCCGCCTCTCTGGTGAGCCCCAGTCCATCCTCTCCCTTTGATAACTGCTTTTTGTAGGGGTGAGCCTTTGTGGAACATACTCTAGCAGGAGGCCATCAACCAGGGAGCAGTTAGGAACAGGGAACAGGCTTAGTAAGGACAGGAACGAGGAATGGTGCTGCAATAAATTTTCACCTGGGCAGCACAGAACACAAAAGAATTAGGAGCTGTGCCAAAGTTTGATGTGGAATGGGTGGGATGACCACCTGAAACAAAAGGAGATTCTGGGTTATGGATGCACTGTAGGAGCTGCCTGAGTCAGACCGCTGAACTCTGGAGCAGGGCAGAGTTATGATACCAGCTTGCTCTTGTCATTTCCCTTTGACTGGCATTAGATACTATCCACCCAGAGTGCTTCCTTGTTTGATCCCCACTTTAAAGGACTGCCTGGAGAGAGTTAGGTATTTAACAAAAGATTCCAGGTTGCACACTGGTGACTATTGTATTCAGTGGAAAGCTAGCATGAACATTTCATGGAGAAAACTGGAAGAGAACCAGTCATATAAACCTTAGATTACAGGAAGCAGTGCTGTTAACTTGACACTTCCCAGCAGAGACTTAAAATGATTGTGAGCGCACTGCCACCTCTATCCCAGCTCTGTGTCAAATAGTTTAGCTTAAACCACAGGGAATTTAAGTTAATTTCCTTGACTTCACACTAGAATTGAGGAGCGGAGAAGTTAAATGCTAACTGACCTACCAACAGTAAGGGCAAGAACTAACAGTAAAGCAGCACTTGGGCAAAATACTCAGTCTAGAAATATGCAGTCACACTCCTTCATTCTTTTTGAGGACACCAGTCATTCCTGAATTTGTTCACGAATATCAATATAATTCCAAACAGCAGTGAAGTATACCGCTATCTTCCAAAACAACCTACCATGTCATGGTTTAACATTGACCTAGGAGACACTGAAGATGATGATCTGAAACCCCCCAGCCCAAGGAAGGAACTAATCCTGGGTTTTCACTTCACGGACAAGTACTGTAAACACTAGGCAATTATGTATAAATTTGATTCTACCTATACCACTATTCCTAAACAAAGCAGCAGCTGCAAGCTCCTTTGCAGTAATCTGAACCTCCTACCCGTGTGGTAGGAGCACTCACGACTATGAAATTAGTAGACTTAAGCAAAACAACTCTCATGCCAAGATCATGGGGACTCTGCACAACCAGAAATCGAGGTACCTTTAGAATGTCAATGCCTAAGAAAGAAGTAACTAAATGAGCTTTGGCAGGATCTTCTTATGTGGCACATTTAACTGGCATGAAAAACTATCAGAATATTTAAAACTGATAAAGTTTGCCAGTTTTGAAACGGTACTGCATGCTTACTCAAGTCTTTTTAAGTAAATAATTGCAGACATGGTTCTGATTTCATGATTTCTAAATTAGAAATTTTACATTTAATGTAACACTGAGAACAATTTAATAATGTGACATCAGAAAATAATTTCTAAACCTATTTAGCTACTTGGGTATATGATATGTATTAAAGGCGCATAGCAGTCCTTCCTGACTCAAAATGACTATGTTCTAGTCAGAATCATCACTACTGAATCTTGGCATCTTGTCATCTTCTTGTACAGTACAGATTCTTTATCATGTAACAACAACTTGTTGACTTTCATTATGTGAAGATTTTAGAGTTGTTCTGGCAAGGAACCTCAAGAGATTAGACACTCAATAGCCACTAAATATCACTGCAATTAAAGCTCCTAATTTCATTGGGCTTTTTGTAAACTTCAGCCTTTGGCCTAGAGATAAGTGAACATTCCCAGAAGGATGTGAAGAGAACCAAAAAGCATATATACAATAAACAACCATTAGCAGAAATGGGGAGGGGGAACTAGAGGGAGGTAAAAAAAAATTAAATAAAATCCTGTCCAGGTTATGGATAAAGAGTTGACTTTTCTTGTTAATTTACAGCCAAATCTAATGCTGATCATCATATGCCAGAATAAATTGGGAAAATGCAGATTCTTTATTCATATACTCAAATTAGGTCAACCATCCAATTTACTTCTACTTTCTACTGTTATTTTAGAGACAAAGTTTTAGCCACATGTTCCCTCCATAATCCATACTAGATTTCACTGAAAACTATGAAACAGGTAGAAAATGAAATCAAAACACTGAAACAGTCTTCAGACTGCTGAGGAACTATGCAAACATTTAATACACCGTTATGCAAAATGAATATTATTCTGGTGACAGTATTAATCCTCTAGAACATGATTCATATTTTTAAATTCATGACGCTTCATCCAGTCATCACCTTCAGCTACAAGCATAACTCTCTTTATATTTGCTTGATTAATAAACTGAAAGCATCCAGTACATAAGAGGATTAAAAGTACAAATGGATCTCATGCCAGTTCTATGCACAGCTTTCTATGTTCAAGTAATTATCTCATAATAAGCAGCACATAAGACACATTAATATTACATTTTGCCTGGTGTCAGCCCATTTCACAATAGGATTGAATTTTCAGAATTGATCACCCAAAATAAAAAGAAGTGCTATGCACTGCTATCTCTCAAAATTAGGAGTTGACGATTAAAGAATTACTTTGGTCAGTTCAATGGACAATCTCCGTTTCCAATTTTTGGGAAATACTTTTAGTGAGTTTGGGAAATATTCAGGTCAGGTCAAATAAAGTAGTACTCTATTCTGCCTAGAACATACTGCCCCTCTGAGCAGTGAATATTATTTATTAGATTAACCTAAACTCACTCTGGAGCTCAAACAGGAAAGACAGAGAGCAACAGTACATCAGGAACTCTTAGATTCAGAACTGAGTGCTTCTGATTTCTCTTTATTGTTTTATCAGAAGAACTGACAAACACAGGAAAAGATAAGGACATTTGGCAAAATGAATTTTCAATTAAAAGTCCTCCTCAAAGACTACAGTGAACAAAAGTAGTAAAATTTACACAGAAAACTAGCTTAACAATCCACCCAAAAAAGCAGTTCTCTTCCTCTGTCTACATTTACTTGGTTTTGAGCAATTGCTACAGCCACAAGAGAAGACAGAAGAATTCTGGTAGACACCACCAATGTTAGACACAATCACTATATTTGAAACTGAATTACCATTAAAAAATTAATTATACCGCCATCATAATCAACTGGATCCATCAGCTGGTTCAACTTCAACAGATAGATACTGACTTCTGTCTAGAAAGTGCAATCTTCACTTTAAATGAACATCTTTTAAAAACACAGTTTTAAAAATTGATTTAAAAGCCATCACAAGCCTGCCCTTCACAAAATATTCAGAAGCAACAAATTTAATCACTAGCTTTGAATGAAGCAGATTCACTTTATTGAATCCAATAAGCCTCACCATTTTCTCTCCAAATTTAAGCCATATGAATATTCCATTGCCATGCAATTAATTCATTAGTCTCAATCACAGACGCATTCTATTCTAGTAAGACCAATGCAAGTTAATCAGAAAACGTTATTGTAAAAAACAACTCAAAATTTTAGGTGTAGAGACTTAATATGTTATATCATTTTGCCTCCTTATCTATACACAATATTAATAAAATGTTAGATGTATTTTCATTTGCATTCAGCTTTGTACACATTAAAGTGCAAATACAGATTGTGAAAATCACTTCTTACCAATATTAAAAGTTTAGTTATAGTCTTTCTCTCACTCACTCATCTAAAGAGAATCTCCATAGACCAATAATTTTTTTCCTAAGTTGCAACGTATTTTAAAAATAATTTGCTTATAAAAGCAAACCTCATTTTGTAAATGAAAATACACAAGTATCTCCAAAACCAAGAAAGTGAATGGTTTGCATTACAGATCCATGGTTATTAACATTGCCTACAAAATACTTAAGATAATTTTTTTTTTCTTAAACGAATAGTCTTTAAAGAAAAGTCGTATGCTACATACCCCTTGTTCATCCAGTTTAAGCAGCTGTTCAGGTACTTTGGGTGAGTTGGAAGCCTGCCTCAGGCACTGAATGCTCAGCTCTGGTATTACATACTCTAGTACCTCTTTGAGAGGCAGACCTCTTGCTGTGCCATGCCGAGCAGTGGATGGTATAGCATCTTCTAAAATTGCTCCTCTAAGTGTAGTAAGCTGCAGTAAAGGTAAAACACACAAAACATATTTAGTTCTAATACTAAAATAACTTTCAAATGTATAAACTTCAGGTTTTAGCAAAAGCATGGAAGAAAGAATGGGAAGAAAAAGATCCCTATTTTTAATTTTTTTTAACCAGTAAACAGATTACTAAATAACTTTTAAACAGGAGACAGGCTCTTACTGTCCCAGTGACAAATATGTTTTTTGTGTAAAGAAATTCACTGATAATGTTGTTAACTTATTCTAATTCCTAAGACTATTGCTTTTTTGGAAAAAAATATTTAAAACACCAGGAAAACTAAAAATTGTTAATTTTAATGCCATACTACCCTAGCAGACTCAGTAGTTGAATGTAAGGTTGGACAGCTTGAGGTAAGCCACAGCTAATAGCACCTTCATTTAACCCATGCACCTATTTTTTCAATCATGCTGCTTTACTTTCATCGTATTTGGCAAAAAGAGAGTCATTTCTTAGAAGTGAGTCAGCTGAATCACCTCTCCACACATACATATAGAGACACCCCTTTTTTTGCAATAAAAGAAAAACCTAGCCTAATAAAAAAAAAAATTATATATATCTGTTTCTATATCTGTTTGTAAAAGCACATGAGCCCAGAGATATCAGGAGGTCTAGCTAACACTTATCTATGTCCTAATCACAATAAAAAGCAAGGATTATGAAAATTTATAGTTGCTTGCTACAATAACAACACTCTGTATTTTCATACAAATCAAAGCTAGTTGCTGTGATAAAGAAGAAATTAGTTTGCAAGAGATACTAATTCGCTTGAAATCGAAGTTATGAGACGTGTCCTTCCACATCGATCACAAGTGAGCTATTCTTCTCAATAAAACAATTATTTTTATCAACATATTAATATTCCTTCCACAAATCATGTATGTAGAAGTATATAAAAACATCTCACAGAAAAAAGCTCTAAGAAAGTATTTTGAAACAAAACACAAAAATACAAGTAAGTCATAGTACTAGCTTTCATATTTTTTTTTTCTACATTTCTTAATCTTTTATTTCTATTCATTAGAAACTTAACATCAAACAGCTTGATCCAAAGTTATCTTCAGCTTTGTTCTTATAATCTGTTCCCTTGCTTGTCCCTTGCAGATCCCCTTAGCCAACTTACCTCCTTTTCAGTGCCCGCTCAAAAAGAGTCAAAATTTTACACAGTACAGAAGAGGAAAACTTTGTTCCAGGAGCAATTACATTTACTAACAGTACAAGAAACATCCCTTTCCCATGAACAGATTTACTTTCAAAGTCAGCAAGATATCCACAGACAAACAACTAGTATCCTAAGCTCTAAGTTAACTTTCCGCTCCTTTGCAGAATTACTGAAGAAAACTTACCTCACTTGTCCTGAAAACTATACGATAGTTGAACTGAGATCCTTCTTTCTCCTTGGCATCTTCAACCTTCTCCCTCCGGATGCTGACTGCTACAGGTCCAAGATTTTCATCTATTCCAAAGTAGTTCTGATGCTCTTTTGCATGAGAGAATGAAGAGAGAAGAGAATAATGAAGTATGAGTCTCATAGAAAATGTTCATCAAATCTGATTAAAAATTTCTGCAGCAAGAAAAAAAATACTATTTTTAATTGAGCTATGAGATCTGTAAATACACTGGCTTGTGATCTTCTGGACTGCTAAGTACATAAATCACAAAATGCTGATTTTGATGAGTGGAATGATCACTCATATCACACAACTCAAATTACTGCAACTGCTGCTACTATGAAATAATTTTTTGTAATTTTTGTTACTATGAATTTAATCATTTTGCTTGATGCTGTAAGAAACTACTTTGGAGAAACTATATCCACATAAAGTCTTCAACAAAAGCTAACAGTCTTCAAACAAATAAGGTGCTATGTAGCTTCCTTCATTTCATTTAATTTATTCTTATTCTTATTTAAAGCTTTACATTCATTCAACGCAGCAACTCAGTTTTAACAAGTGAAAACTGAGGCTAGCAACTCTTCAATCTTTGATGAATAGTTAAATTCATCCTTGAGCCAACTGCCCCAGTCTGGGAGAGTAAAGCACTACCAACAGAAGAGGAAGATCAAGTTAGAGACCTTTTAAGCAGACTAGACACACTGAAGTCCATGGGACCAAACAGGATACATGTTGAAGGAACTAGTCAGTGTCGCTGTAAGGCCTTTGAAAGGTCATAATGAGCGGTTACACTCATTTTTAAAAAGGGCAAGAAAGAAGGTCTGGGAAGCTATAGACTAGTCACCATAAACCTTAGTTCCCAGGGAGATTAAGGAACAAATTCCCATGGAAGACTTTTCCAGGCACATGAAGGACAAAAAGATGCTTGGAAACTGCCTGCATAGATTTACCAAATGCAAATCATGCATGACCAACCCAGTTGCTTTTTACAGTGAGATGACTGGCTTTATGGATGAGGAAGGAGCAATGAATGTCACCTACTTGTACTTTAGCAATGCTTTTTACACAGTCTCCCATACTATCCGTGTAGCTAGACTGAAAAGACATGGTTTAGACATGCAAATTACAAGGTGGACATAAACTGGCTGGACAGCTGGCCTCAAAGGACTGTGATCAGTAATACAAATTCCAATTAGTGGCCAGTTACTAAAAGGTTTATCAAAAGTTGTTAGTGGAGCTGTTACTGTTTAATATTTTTTTAAATTATCTAAATGATGGAATGGAATGCATCCTCAGCAAGTTCATGTACATGACCAAGCTCAAGGAGAACATTCATGTATTGGAGGTTAGGGCTGTAGTTGGGTGCAACAGATAAAGGGTAATAACCGGCAGGCTTTAACAAATGAGGAACATGCACATAGGGCAGATACTGAAATGCATAAACCTTGCAGTATTTTACAAAAGCGGGCAAAGGAGGTTAACTAATCCACACAAGTAGAGAGTCCTATAGCTGTAGGGTCTCTGTGCTTCACTGGCCGCTCTCCCCTTCCCCTGGAGGCAGCTGCTGCTGAGATGGGATAGCTGAGCTGCATGTGAAGCAACTCCTAAACCACTGAAGTTTTCAACCTGACATGTTAAAACCAACTCTCCCTTTGATGATCTGAAAAAACGGATCGACAAAAACCTTATGAAGGCCAACATAGACCTATATCTAGAGCAGAACAAGCTCATACAACAGCACAGGCTAGGGACTAACTGCCTCAGCAGCAGCTCTGTGGAAAAGCAGTGCAGACCCCGGTGAGCAACAGGCGGCACAGCAGCCAGCAGAACCCCCTGGCAGAGATGAAGGCTAACCACACTCTGGGCTGCACTAGCAAGAGCATACCAGCAGGTCAGGAGAAGATATTATGTCTCTGTTTGGCACTTGTGAGGCCACATAAGGAGTAGCGTCCAATTTTGGACAGAGTGGAACAGACAGCAGACAACTTCCAAGACAATTAGAGGGCTGGAGCATATACCAGATGAGGAGAGGCTGAAGGAGATGGGCTTGTGCAGCCTGGAGAAGAGCAGGTTAAGGGGGGAAATAATTGCAGGATCCCACTAGCTGATGGGAGGTTATAGAGAAGGGAGAACCAGACCCTTCTCCGAGGTGCAGAGAGAAAGGACAAGATGCAACCATCACAAGATGCAGCCCCTCATTGAGGGAAATCAAACACAGGAACAGGTTGCCAAGAGAGTTTGTGAAATCTCCATCCTTAGGCATGGTTGAAAGCTAAAGGGACAGCTGAAGGGGAATAGGTTCTGAGCAACCTATTCAGAACCTACCTTTAAAGGCAGCTTTAAACAGGGAATTAGACTGGATGACCTCCAGAAATGTCTTCCAATCCATTTTATGCTATAATTCCATATTTTAAATAGCAATGAATTAATAGACTAATTTCTCCTTTTCAGATTGTCTGGATTAAAAAACATGTTGCTAGCATTTTTGAGCTAGTTTGATACATTGTATTTAAAAAAAAAAAGTATTTATAGAAATATGTAAGGAAGTTTTTGCAAAATATCTTTCACTGAGAAGTCATCCATACTCTCAGAATGGATACAAAAAGATAGTTATCTCTACATAAATGACAGCCTTATTTGTCAAATCAAGTTTAAATTAAGTTTCCAGTAGCCTTTCAAAAATCTATCTATAAAGTATGTTGGTGGTTACAGTCCATCTCCCAGTGGAGAAAAAATGAGTAGCAGCACATTATAACTAGCATCCTTTTTTTGGAAGGAACACCTGGGATCAAAGGGGCACAGACATTAAATTATTCGCTCATGCTCACCAACTGCATTCCTTCCCCAGCCTGAGCATTCTACCTGCATGGATAAATTATACCTCTTGGATTTCCCAATGTCAAATTAAAACTTTGAGCCTTAACAGGCAAATTTATCAAATGGAATAGGATTTTACAGACCCGAGAGAGAAAGAGAGAGAGATATTCAGAGGCCAAACACTTTCAACAACACAAAAACTCCCCACAGCTGCATATTCAGGCTTTGACAAAAGGTAGGGTTTCTATAGCCTTTCATTTTCATGTAAATCTAGAAAAGGGTATTACATAGTTACTAGATTTCTTGGCTGCAGTATTACTGAGCAGAAAAATGCAAGCTTGACAGATATCTGCTTATTTCTTGTACAATATGAAAGACACAAAACCAAAGACGTTATTTATGTACATTAAAAATAAAATAGATAAAATAGTTTCAAAAATGGGAATTAAAGAAGCTGCAGTAAATTAAAGAATAGCATGGCTACTGATATTCTGGGATTTAGAGAAAATCTTTTACATTCAAAGCACTTTTTTTTTCAAATCTCATAAAGTACAAACTCATTAAGCTCATATAAAAGTATTTATGTTGATTTAAAAGTATCGACTGGAGAGAAGAGAAGAAAATAAGTGCTATTTTCTAGCTGTTTAAAGAGAGGCGGTAAAGTATTCCTCATTTTTTTACTTCTTCATTTTGAAATAATTGTTAACTTTTCTTCTAATACAAAAGCCTTACTTATACAAAACTGAATTAATACCAAAAGCTTGCTAAGCCTGTACATTTCTTCTAGGACATTTTTTCAGTTTGATATCAGCAGATAGATACAATAACATATTAAGAAATGGGTGCAAGAATCCCTCAAAGGAAAAACATGGTAGTAATAGTCAAGTCTCAAGGTATTACGAGGATAATTGCACAGGGGGAAAAGGACAAATCAATGATAATAAAAGCATATTTCAATTATCCTTTTTAAAAATCAACATAGCTTTTTTCTCCTTCTCATCCCTTTTTATCCCACAAAAATATAGTTCACTAAAGGACACCATTAATAAATCAAAACCATGAGATAAAATAAAATATTCTAGCTTTTACAAACCTTATCTGAAAACTGAAGATATTTTCCATAAACATTAACATATTTTACATCAGTCGTGTTGGATTTGATTTTAACAATAGTTACAAAGCTTATAAATATGCAGTATAAAACTACAGCTCATTTCAGAAGACACTGAATTCAAAATTTCTCATTTCTTGAAAGGGAATGGAATAATTAATGATACACATGCCAGGGTGTTTCTTCCATGCATCTTAAAACAGAAATAAAACTTGTACGCTGACAAGTGCCAATTATAAAACTGTGAACTAAATCAAATATTCAGAAAGTTATTTCTTTTTCATAGATATCTTGTTAAAGGCAAAGAAAATAGGTGGCATTACATATGTCTCTATATACAAGTTACTACTGTTTGCTAAATTTTTATTTCATCCTTCCACAATTATTTTGCTAAATTCAACTGTGCTATTAAATCTACAATTCAATGAACAATCAGCTAGGAGAGCTCACTGTCATGAAATAGCACCAAGTAAGATTCAGTATGCATATAAATGTCACTTTTTCTTGGGAGATCAGCACAGGTATGGGAGATCAGCATAGCAGCAAGACATCTTGATGCCCAAGGCAAAATGCCTGTTTTATTTCCTCTATCCACAATAAACTTTGCTTAGGTGAGAACTGTGTTCAGCTGGAAGTAATCTGGAGATTCTTTACATGCTTGATCCCTTGAGATAATAGGTATGGAAAATTAAGTTTTCAGTTCATCAACATGTTTGCCCTGACTTACTATCTGTCTCATAAGACTCATCCAATACAGATTTCTCTCATGTAGCTTCGTTACAGTTCTATAGAAAGATAACGTGGAACAGGGCATGGCTTACATATTACTGTAAATTTGAGAGGGTAACGATTTATTACTGGATATTAAATGCATCACATCATATTTACTTTTGAAGAACTCTAACTACAGAACAATCAGTAACAAGGAAAACACAATTCAAGTTTCCTGGTATTATACTATGTGGGATAAAACTCTAGATACTATTTCTTAACTTTTTAATACTATATTAATATAAACATATTTTACTTTTAGTCAAGAGATCATATATACATAATACCAGAACAAAAGTTAATTAAACTGTAACACCTCTCCTATGAAGAAAGGCTGAGAGAGTTGGGGTTATTCAGCCCGGAGAAGAGAAGGCTTCGGGGAGATCTTATTGCAGCCTTTCAGTACTTAAAGGAGGCTTATAAGAACGACGGGGACATACTTTTTAGCAGGGCCTGTTGCGACAGGACAAGGGGGAATGGTTTTAAACTAAAAGAGGGTAGATTTAGACTAGATATAAGGAAGAAATTTTTTACAATGAGGGTGGTAAAACACTGGAACAGGTTGCCCAGAGAGGTGGCAGAGGTGCCATGCCTGGCAACATTCAAGGCCAGGTTGGTCGGGGCTCTGAGCAACCTGCTCTAGTTGAAGATGTCCCTGCTCACTGCAGGGGGGTTGGACTAGATGACCTTTAAAGGTCCCTTCCAATCCAAACTATTCTATGATTCTATAAAACTAACTACATTTGCATCAGCTTTCCAGAAAGGTCAGTAGGTTTGTTTATAGTATATTATTTAAAGTGTTTTTGAGTACTCTTTCTATTTTCTGTTTTTAATCTCTCTGACAAGATTTTTCTTCATGAAAAATGTTCAGCCCTTCAGAACCTGTAACTCATCCATGATAAACTCATTTCACAAACAAGTCCTCTTTCACTTGGCTTAATCCTTGACTTTTTTTTTCTTACTATCCTGCCACCACATTTGTCCATTGACAATCTTCCTTTCATTTCCATCTATGACAATCCTTCTTTCTCTCTGTCCCTCAAAAAATATGCCACCCTTTTGTTACAAATGTCCCTTCATTATCTTCCACTCTGACTCCCTTAACACTTTTTGATCCTTTACAACCTAGCTTAAAAGCCATTTTGAACCTCTGAGTTTACTTCCCATTCCTTGCTTAGCTCTGGGTCTTTTTCCTCCTCTTCCATGAGAGATCCAGCTCCTTTTCTTCCTTGCCTTTTAAATACAGTGTTTTTACAGCCAATATGTTCTAGGTGTCTACTGTATTGTGAAAACAAGCACTGTACTGGATCCTCTTTTGAGTCCCTTGTAAAGTGTCACAGGAGGAAGGAGTACAGTACAGTGCTTATTTCCTGCTGTTGAAATATAGCTAGAAAGCAGAGGAAGTATGATTTCAGGAAGACTTGGGCATTAACAAACAGTCTTTTAAGGACTTTTCTTTTAACAGCAAAAAGACTGAGTTGTAATTCGTAATACAGAAAGGACACAGGTATTTTGGGGTTCTCCCCACAAAAACAGAGATTTCACACACATTGCACAATGCAGTACTGAATACAGACAGCCAAACTAGATAATAAAGCGGAAACAGTTTATCTGAATAACGATTCAAACCAAGATAATTACTCTGCTGCAAAGAGTACCCTGGCACTTTGCAGTGTGAACATATCCTAAAAGAATAGGGTAAAAGGCTAGGAAAAAGGCATAAAACAACCTTCTTTAAGCTGACAAACTAAATAACATCAGAAGCTCTCTGTTTAAGGAGTGTGTATATGCACATAGAGTACGAAAGACCCTAGCCAAGAGGCACTTGACGACAGCAGAATCTAGAAGAAGGGAGTCAGAAACCTCAATAATAACACCTTCTCTTTTGGAGGCACCTTTTAGGAAAGGATGATTTCCACTCTGGGTATCAGTATTTCCAATGCATTTACTGGATATAAATGTCTTCTTTTCCTCCTGCCCACCAAGAAAGTTTGGTTCAGAGAAGTTAGTTTACGTACTAATTTAAATGACCTCACACTTAGTGAACTTACACAAGTATTGCATAACTTTATACATAACCCACTGGTTGTTGAATATCCCTCTGGGAGAGTAAGAATAACAGGCTTAATTTTAGTAAAGAGTTTCAGGATGCCCTGTAATACTTACGTCTTTCTATAGAGAAGAAGAAGGAAAAAAAAAAATCTTTACTAAGCAACTTAAATCTAATGCATGAATATCTCAGAACAGTTGCATTATAAAAACTTACCTTTTCCATAGAAGAACTTGCGGTAATAGTATGCTCCAAGATCAATGTGTTCTATGATGTAACGCTTCACTTTCTCTCTGTGAATGGACTGGTTTTCTCTTGGTACTTCTAGTACTGAAACACCAGCATTTGTGCAATGGGAACTCAGAGAGGACTCAAAAGAACAACTTTCACCTGAAGAAAAGGATGCTGAATTTGCCCTAGAAAGTGCAATCCGTCTATCTCCTTCCCCACCAGTTTCATTCCTGAAGTAAGGGCAACTCAATACTAAATCATTGCTTTTCCCATCACCCTCATCAGCATCTAAATTCTCTTTTGAATTGAGGTCCTCTTTGCTTCCCAAAGGAGATTCACAGTTTCCTGTTTGGCCTGCTGGCATCTGAGTTTGTGATGCAGCTGAAGCCCCAGTGGTTATATTTTTTCTTTTTCCTACATTTACTCTGGTAGCCATTGCTTCATTTATGTTAAACAAAATGCTCTGAACATCATAATGTGCAAAACATTTCTGACAGTTCCAAGAACGAACATTTCTGTCAAGTCTATCATCCAGATCAGGCAAAAACTTAAAAGTTTCATGCTCACTTTTAACTGTTCGCAATTTTCTAAATAGAGATGTTTCTACTGCTTCTGATTTTAGTCTCCTCTTGAAAGATTTCTCCCTGTCTCGACCAATAAGTAGGGCACTATCCATATAATCCAAGCCAGAAATCCTGACAAATTCTCCCCTGGAAATCTGTGCAGCAGCATGTAGACTTGGAGAAACTGCAGGATCACAGTGGAAAAACTCAGAAAATCCAAATGGAGCAAGAGTTTTATGTTCAAAATTTTCCACTCGGTATCCTCTTAGCATTGCAAAGAAATTTTCTCCAGACAAGCCTTGTCTATCAATTGAAGAGGTACTGCCATATTCTCTATGAAGAGCTGCTCCAGTATTTGGGTTAACAGCATTCTGGTCTAACACATCTTCAGCATCAATATCACTTATTGTCACATCACTGTTGCTTCTTTGCCTTATGGGATGAAGTCCCCTTTGAGGGGAATGAACAAAAAGATCTCCAATCGAATATTTTCCCTCCGTAAATTCCAATTCTAGCTCTTCTTGTTGTCCATCACTTTGGTCATTTTGTCCATTTGGAAGTACTGAGCCAACACTTTCATAACTGGTTGGAGGTCTGTTTTCCCAAGCAGCTTTACTCAGCTCTTTAGAGCAATCCTTTTTAGGAGGCCATTCAGATACCCTTGCTCGAACTCCCATTTTAGGCACAGCTGGTGTACCATTTGTTTGATTATTTTCAGGTTTGCTAGATGCATTTGAAGATACAGGAGGACCCATGCTACCATTCAAAGCTTTAAGTTTTCTAGCAAAATAATCATCAGATTGCATGCTTCTTGAAGACTCCCTGAACTTTGAGGAAGTTCTGCTAACTTTGTGCTTATCTTCTTGCAAAGACCTTTGATCACTCATGTCCAGTCAGTGGGAGGGGAACCACTACTATTGCATAAATTTACTGTTACTTTTGTTATTACATTGTCTTTTATGAGCCAATAAACTGCAATATAAAAATACAGTTACAGTCTTCCCAGAAGTGCAAGCAGAAACCTCAGTGTACCATTTTTGTACAACTTCTCTCAGGAGAGCAATCTTAAAAGATTTCCTTCAATTCAGACGCATTCAGTTCGATATTAATCCAGACAAATTTCTTTTATCTGTTCATAAAAAAAGAAAAGAAAGTGTATTAAAATGTTTATAGTCAATAACAGTAAGCTTCCAATGTTGTTTCCCCATGAAACTGGAACTAATGAGACTTGCTTTGTATGGTTTTCTATCCTCTGCCTCCTTAAAACCCAATAAATGCAATAATCCCAGTTTCCCCTACAATGCCCACACGATACGAGCAGTTTGAACCCGCATGTCTCTCATGGGCTAACCAGTACACGCACACTGTATAGCAGACCAGGTTCTACCAAGCAGAATAGCCACATACAATTCTCTGTGTCTCCTTCAATGCTCACAGCAACTTAGATGCCTATTCTCTGTCTAATCACTGGGTTTTTTACATAACATGAAAGAACATAGCCATCTCTAAGATACCTTGTTCAAGTTTGTTTGAAACTGGCTAATACACACAAGGAGTTACTGGGGCAAGACTGGTAGAAAATGTAAGCAAAATATATGAAACAGATAGGACCTTAGGCAAAGAAAAGTGTTTTATCCCATTTAAAAGAACATTTTAAAGTTAAGTAATCTCTCCACTATGATTAATTCAGTGAATAAATGTATTTCACTTTTTTCCCCCCTCTCTCTCCCCAAAGGGAGATTTACTTACATTCCTTTATTTGGAGTATAAACTATTACTTAGCTGTGTAAAACAGTTATAGTTGTTTCTGTTACATTATATTCCTCTAGTTGGAAGCCTAGACTGTTAACTCAGTTACTGTGCTAAAGAACACATCTGCTGTCTTCCACAAATAAGAAAAGATAGTAGCCCTATTGATAAGCATTACTTTGCCTACAAAATTGGAATTGTCAGGATATAAAAGTATTCTTCAATGGCTTTAATGGTCTTAAGAATGACCATGACTCATGCTGTGAAGACTCCTTTGCAGGCAGAGCCCATCCTTTAACCCATTGCGTAAAACCAGACTAAAATAAGAGACAAGATAGCATGTTATGCACTTTCTTTTCAGCTTTTGTTCCTTGAACAAAAATACCAACATAATAATGTTTTAAGATGCTGCAAATAAGCATAATATGCATTTACCAGAGTTTAAAAAAAAGGTCAGGTCAAATTAGCATGGAATATGAATTCTCCCTTTATTTCAGTGAAGATATGAGGTGGTAAGAGGAGCTCAGAAGATAAGTGGTTTTTTCCCCTGCATTTAATGCCATAAAAATT